TCAACGAAAGCGACAGCCGGGTTCATTTGGCCATGTAAGCGGCTACCTCCTTCTCCAGACTCTGGGCGAAGCGGTGGTTGAGGAAGAGGAGCTGGCCGTGAGGAAGCAGGCGGCTGAGCAGGACGTCGATGCGGCTGCTCTTCAGGAGGACCTGGAAGGGAAAGATGGGCATTTTAGTTTCACTTCCTGCACTTTTAATCTCTCATCTTTGCTCTGTCTAGGTGGTAGCCAAACATGTTGTATCTCGTTTTTTGCAGACAAGTCGAGCCTAACTTGATCCTCCATCATTTTCTTACAGCAAATCCATAAGATATATATAAGATAAGAGCCAACTTTATTAATCCTGAAGGGAATTCTTGTGCCAGATGTTGCTCAGAAAAAAACAAATAACATAAAAAATGTAGTGCTTAAAAGGAAAAATGCATTAAAATGTAAGTATGATACGTAACTGAAATAAAACAAGTGAGCTAAAATAAGACTAGAATAGAACAGCAAAAATTATATGGAAGTAATAAGTAATATCACACATGCTAATGAAATAATGCACCTAAAAGATAAGATGAAAATCTACAATGCACCCAGAGCTTACATCATTTGATATGAAAATACCTGCAGGTTGTTTATATTCGCCTTCATATAAAGGAAAATATATGTCATATTACGTGATTAGAGATAAGATAGGATAAGATACAACTTTATTAATCTCAAATGAAATTCTTGTGCCAGGTATTGGTCAGAAAAAAACAAAATGTAACAAAAATGCAGTAACTAAAAGTAGAAATGCAATTAGATATAAGTACGACACATTACTGAGCTAAAACAAGACCAGAATAGAACAGTAAAAAGTTAAACTGTCAATTTTATGCAAGTAATAAGTAATAACACACATGATAATGAAACAACGCATCTGAAAAATGAGATGAAAAACCACAATGCACACAGATCTTCCATCATTTGATATGATACTTGCAGTTTTTCTATATTAGGCTTCATATGAAAAAAGAAAAAAGTTATATTACAAAATTAGAGATCAGGTAAGATAAAGTTTTAATAATCCCGAAGGAAATTCTTGTACCACATATAGCTGACAAAAAACAAATTACATGACATAAAAGTAAAAAAGCAATAACATAATATAACTATGATACATTATTAAGGTAAACTACATTAACTAAAATAAGAGTAGAGTAGAAAAATTTAAAGTAATAGGTAATCTTAAACACGATGATGAAATATTGAAATGAAATATTGCACCGTTCCGGACACTTCGGCCCCGCTGGAGCGCTCCCCTGGGGTGGAAGTGGCCGAAACGTGCACAAGCGCACCGGTCAATTAGGCGTGAAAGGAGTGGCGGGCCGCCATTCTTGCAAGATTACATTACATTACTCGCGAGAGCGCGGCCTTGTAAATGACATCTCATCCAGCGCCAGTATGAACAGTCTCTCCACCTGAGCTACTGAAGCTGGTAACTCCTTCAGAGGAGTCATAGGAGTCTTGGTGGCCTCCCTCACTAGTCTCCTTCTAGTACCTCCTTAAGAGGAGTCATAGGAGTCTTGGTGGCCTCCCTCACTAGTCTCCTTCTAGGAGTCATAGGAATCAATCCTGAATATACAGAATGTTTCTTTCAAATAACATCAAATATCAGCAAAACAATTCATGATTTTTTTTTTTTCCAAATGCAGTCAAACCTTCTAAAAGAACAAATG